ATTTGAGGCGCAGACACTTCTTTCCGCAGAGCTTCAGAACAAGGTTCACAAGACGGAGGATCAAACAAAAACGAAGTTGGCACCTGCAGAACGAGAGAGCCGAGTCAAGGAGCAGAGAACCAGACTCGAAGGTCTCCGTCTTAAAGGAGAGGAAGAGTGTGCCTTTCAAAGCTATGACCTGGTCCTTGGAATGCTAGAAAAAGACTCACTCGTGTATTTAGCTCCTGAGAAGTTCGCCACCCGCAGAAACGAGTTAGCCCTCAAGAAAGCCACCAAGGAGATCTCGATAGACCAAAGTGCACTGGTTGTAAGAGACAAGTCCCAGGACATTACTTGTTCAACAGCAACGGAACTGGAGACAACGAATGCCATGAGGCGACGGGCTCTCGCCTTTGATTTAGTTCAAGGATGCAATTACCATGTCATGAATGCATACCACGCAGGGCTCTTTGATCATTTGCACATGGTTCCACCACCTGGATACTCAGCGGTCACTTTGACCCAGATCCTCCGTGCAGACCGAGCAGCCTGGTTGCATATGGCAGAAAAGCTGAGCACCTTGAAACGTGATCAACAAGGCAACCTGCCTTTAGAGAGTGAGATCGCAAAAGTTTTGGCTCACCCGTCTGTGACGTTCCATCTCCTGCCATTGCCTCTGAGGAGCACCGTTGACAAACCAGCCCAGCCGAAAGCGGCAGCAACACCGAAGCGCACCAGATCTCGCACACCTCCAAAGGGAAATACATCACCACCTGCCAAAGGAAAAGGAAAGGGTAAGGGTGGTAAATCCAAAAGGGGACGTGGCCCGAACATTCCACGTGGGCTCATAGGTAAGTGTTTGCACACCAAGGCAAACGAGCGCCTCTGCTGGGCCTTTAATCTCCCCCAGGGGTGCCAAGACGCAAAACCAGGCAGCAAGTGTGCTCGAGGGCTGCATCTATGTGCAGAGCCGAACTGTGAGCAACCGCACAGTCTCCAAAACCATCAGTGACAAACCCAAGTGAACGGTCCGATTTTGCACCCGGGTCCACCTGACATTCGAAGCAATGCAGCTCCTACCCATCAGGGCCGTTCACTAGAGCAATTTTTCTGCATCGAAATTTTCGCTGGCTCCGGTAAACTCACCGCAGCGTTAAGATCTTTAGGCCTTCGAGACAGTTTTGGTGTCGATTTAAAGTTGCCTGATCATCTTAGGAGCCCGATAATTAGGTATGATCTGCTGAAACCTGACCATGTGAAGCTTGTACAGGATCTCATCGTTTCACCCTTTTGCATCTATGTGCATTTTGCACCACCGTGTGGCACCAGCTCCAGAGCGCGCCTCATCCAGAGAAGAGGCCGATGGAACCCACCAATAGTACGCACCGACCAATATCCAGATGGTCTTCCAGGGCTTACTGGCAGCCTCCAAGCCCGCGTCCAGGCGGCAAATGAGTTGTATCAAATCACCTGTGATCTTGTTGAATTTTGCCTGCTACATAAAAAGTACTTTTCAGTTGAAAACCCTGGCAGATCCTTCATGTGGCTCACCAGGCCCTTTGTAAGATTAATCCAAAGGTTTTCCCTATATGAGGTGCTTTTTCATCATTGCCGGTATGGGAGCTCCAGAAGGAAATTGACCAAACTCCTTCAGAATATCCCAACTTTTCAACAACTAGAGTTGATGTGTGACAACCAACATCAGCATGAACCCTGGGGTCAAGACCCCTCAGGGCACTGGCGGACTGCAGAAGAAACCACTTACCCGTGGGAGCTTTGCAAAGCGATAGCTGCCAAGTTAGCCTCACAGTTGCAGACCGACGGGATCACATGCTCCCCCCCGGTCTTCGCTTTGCAGGAAGCATCATTGCAGACCATGAGAGCCTCCACTGATTTGCAACCTCGACGAGGCCTCCCACCAATGGTGCCCGAGTTTAAGCAAGTTCAATCTCATCCATCTGCACAAAAGTTGCCACCTTACGCCAGAAAACTCTCCTCCCATCACGGGGGTTTAGGCGCGAGTATCAGCAACACCAAGGATAAATCGGGTGATCAAGTAACCATAGGTATACATTTTGGCCCTGAAGAATTTGTTCAAAAAGCCTTAGAAGTGGGCCATCCAACAAGGCTGCACTCTTTCTTCCCGGACGAAATGGGGACAGTGGTGAAGCACTGCCTGGATAGGAACCCAGCCGGCCTGTCGCAAGACCGCACCGAAGAAATCAAAAGGTGGATCCACTTGAAGCAATCGCTGAACACTGAAGAGTCCTTGATCAAGGAGAAAATGTCGGATAGAAGAAAAGACATCCTGGGAAGCAAAAACCTTGCTCTGTTCAAGCATCTCCTGAGCGATGCTGGACATGGAGATGTTGACCTGGTAGAACAGCTCGCTGAGGGGTTTGATCTCACCGGGAGTCTTCCGGAATCCAATGTATTCTCAAGGAAAGTTCGCCCAGCGACTATGTCTTGTGGAGACCTTAGAAGGATAGCAGACCTGAGCCGTGAAGGCATGCTGCAAATGGTTAAGTCTTCAGGTGACGCTGAAATTGATGCACAACTTTACGCGGCGACCATGAAGGAAGTGTCAAAGGGTTTTCTTGAGGGGCCTATCGACCCTAGGACGTTGCCCGCAGGATCAACCCTCACCCGCAGGTTTGGGGTGTTCCAAAAGAACAAGACAAGGCCCATAGATGACTACAAGGCCTCCTTCGTAAACTCAAGTGTGTCACAGACCGAAACAGCAACGGTGCATACCGTAGATCATGTAGCCTCCATGATAGCTTGTGTTTTGAGACACGCTGAAGACAGGTCGCAGCGACCCAATTTGGTTGCAAAGACTTGGGACCTGGCTGACGCTTACAAACAAATACCCCTTAGTGATCAGGCCTTCTCTCAGGACGCCTACCTTGTGGTGTTTTGCCCTGACACCAACAAGGCTGAGGTGTTTCAGCAGAAAGTACTCCCCTTTGGATCTGTGGCGTCCGTCACGGCATTCCTGCGTGTGGCTCACGGGATATGGAGGCTGGGGCACCAACTTCTCAAATTGATGTGGACATCTTACTTCGACGACTTCTTTTCTGTAACTGATGCAGCCAGTGCCAAACATACAGACTTAGTCGTCCTTACGATGTTTAATCTTTTGGGTTGGAAATTATCCGCGGACAAATTGATCGATTACAACACTGCCTGTAAAGTGCTCGGGGTGGAATTCGATCTCAAGATGTCCGGGGAGGGCTTGGCAACCGTAAACAACACTTCCGAGAGGGTTCAAGATCTGGGCGATCAACTGGACTCCATCCTGGATGCAGGCAAGTTGAAGAAGTGTGATGGTGAAAGGTTGAGAGGCCGATTGCAATTTGCCAGTGGCCAACTCTTCGGGAGAAGTGCCCGAAACAGCCTCAGGGTTTTGTCCAAGCACATAGCCAGTAATCGTCTCCAGCTGTGCAACGACACTGTTGCGGCCTTGAACAGCCTTAAGTGCCAGTTGATGGCAAACTTGCCACGCACCATCAAGGGGCCAATGTCCGATCACATACACATCTATGTTGATGCGTCTTTCGACCCCGATAATTACTCTGGAGTAGGTGGCACAGCTTATGCTAGTGATGGGACAGTTTTGGGTTTCTTTAGTGAAGAAATAAGCAAATCTTTCATTCTTGCTGCCATGAGCACGGATCAACAGACCATGATCCAGGAGTTGGAGATGTTGGCTTTGCTGATAGCAGCCTCTATGTGGTGCCCATGTCACGAAGGACGTCGCATAGTAGCCTTCACCGACAGTGAAGCTGTCAGAGGCAGTTTTCTTAAAACCTGGTCTGGAAATGATCCTAGCAGCAAAGTTCTTAGAAAAATTTTTCTTCTCGAGGAGACCCATTCATGTCACATTTGGCTAGAGCGTGTGCCGAGCCAGTCTAATCCAGCGGATGAGTTGTCTCGAAGCCAGGTGGCTCGATGGGCTGGACATGAAAGGACAAGGGTCGATGTCAGTAAGCTGTGGAACCACACGGCCACCAGCATGGGGTGAGAGCGCGCCGAAGTGGCAGAGCGATCCGATCCCCAATGGCAAAAAGTATGCAGCTGCGTCATGCATGCTTGGGACATTGACATGTGTCATACACCGCAGCAACATGAATCAAAGAGCATAAGAATTCTCTCATGATGAAGTCATGATAGATTTTTATGTGAAGGATTCATGTCACACGAACATTCAAGTGAGTACTGCGGTGAGTTTCCCTGTTGTGCATGCAAACATGTTGATACGGATTTCATGGTTGCATTTTGGTTCTAAGTCACAAGTGTGACTATCGTCGGCAAGTGCCGAAACGTGAACTTCATGAGTTGGCATGTCATTTACAGACAATTCATTTGTCACAAATGCATGTTTTCAATTTCATCAACTCAAAGTTAATTTGGAAGTTCACTTTCAATTCAAAATGAAATCAATTTTCATATCAAAATTTTCGTCCCGGACCTCTCCCACCCATGGAAGCAGCAAATCAAACGCTCCAAAGTTTCTTCGTCCAGTTTGTCATTGTGCAGTACTATGCCCAGCAGCTCAATCAGATCGATGAGCATTTGATAGATTTCTCCGATTACTTTGAGGATCAAGGCCTTCACCAAGCCACGCCGCTGATCAACCATATGCGTACGCAGGTACGCCAGTTGAAGGCCCACTTAGAGTTCCTGGCCTCTATCAAATTGCTCCAAAGTTGCCGGGCCATCCAACAGTATCTCCTTCAACATGGCCGGCTTCCATACCTTGACATGTGACCTTGCTGGGCATTGACGTTGGACTTTGGAATGTTGTACATTTTTATTTTCGCTCTGGCCTACCCAAAGCCAGAGCGCGCCGAAGTGGCAGAGCGATCCGATCCCCAATGGCAAAAAGTATGCAGCTGCGTCATGCATGCTTGGGACATTGACATGTGTCATACACCGCAGCAACATGAATCAAAGAGCATAATAACCATTATCAATATTCCATGAGTTTTGGGTCGCCTTTCCACCGGTTCCACCGGCAGATCTCCCTGGCTCCACTTGCTGGGCATCGCGGTGGACGCCCAAAACCGCCGCCGGGGCCTGGCGCAGCACCTGCTGCGCGCGGCGCTCCGCGGCGCGGCCGAGGCCGGCGCCTCCGCGGCGCTGCTGCACGTGCGCGTGGAGAACCACGCGGCGCAACGGCTCTACCGAAGACTGGGCGCCTGGGGCTGGAGGGGCTGGATTTTTTGGGATGAGTTGGGGCTGGTTTCGAGCCATCAATGGCTATACAAATGGCCATACAATGCTATAAATGGGATGGTTGAGTTTTTTGGGATGGTTGAGTTGGGGATGGCTATAGAAATGGCTATAGAAATGGCTATAAATATGGTAAATATATGCTGTAAATTGGGGGGATGAATGTCGATGTAGCTGTTTTTTTTGATGTTACAAGTGGATGGTTTGACCCATCCCCAATATCAGTTTGGTTTGTCCAATAAGGGATTGGTGTCCAGTTCATGGTAACTTTAAGTAGGAATAAAATGGGGCAAACCACTGGATTGGTGAAGCTGTTTGGACGCACAAATGCTGATAGGCATTTTTTGGGGGAGGTGAGAATTTTTGCCTATACCAACAGCTTTATGTCATTGTATGTTTTGGATCTTCCCTTCATCCCATGGTTATTATGTTCACGATGTGCGTTGACTGGAAGCATCGAAACTGTTTCGGATGGTGGTTGCGGTAAACTGTCGTGAATTTGCCTTCCGTTTCGCCTCCTTACCGTCTGCGGCCGGGTTTGTTTGTGATGTGATAGGTGGGCTAAAGTTGAAGACCTCACGGAGTCTCACATTCCTGCACGGTCGTGAATTGATGTGGTGCGGCCCCATGATTTCAGGATATTGGTAAATTCCCGTTCACAACCCACAACTTTTGGAGTGGACCCTGGAAATGAAGTCGTTGACCTCCTGTTTACTAGCAACTAGAATTGAAGTTGATAGCAGTGTGGGGGTCGAGCTGTTGAGATTGATGTCTAAACAGATCCACTCAGGGCTGGGGACGACCTCAACAAAGTCCGCTGCGTTTTGCTTGATGCAAGGATTCTTGCGCGTCGCCAGAGTGCAGGGCTACTACACTGAAAACGACGCATGGGAGCTTCTCAGGCGGTGTTTGTGTATGTTGGTGTGCTAAAGGGCAACCGCCGTGCAGGGCACACGAGTGTGAGTTGACAACTTCATGGTCAATACTCATGGGTTGTTGTCAATGATATAGCTGTATCTTTTTGATGGCCGCACCCCATGTTTGTTGGTCAAATCTCGGATTTGGATCACCTCCCCTATGTTTGCAAGCTGAAATCAATATTTTAAACCAATTCATAGTGATCAAACTCTAATTTTTGTGGATAGAAGTTCATATCTGCAGATATTTCTTCACCACTATAACCCACGTTTGTTCCTCCCTTGTTGCTGCCCATCCCAACCCTCGTTGCGTCTCCATGGCCGGTGTTGCATTGCCTAAAGGGAGTTGCCAGCGATGGCGCTGCGGCCTGTGGATCTACCGGAGGCGGATTTATCAGAAATCATGGCAGGAGGCTTTGCTGGGTAAAAACGTTTTAGATGGTTTATAAACAATCAAAGGTAAATTTCCTGGTAAATCATGGCAAAGTAAAATCATCTATAAACGGGGAACTTTACTAACTTTACTTTGCCACGTGAATCTCCAACTTGTGGCCATTGAACATCGGGGAAATTCGAGGTTTTAGGAGATTGGAATGGGGGGTTATATAAGCCTCGATTGTTGATTGTTTTGATGCTGGACTCCATATGGGTGTATCTGAAAATAGTGTACCCCTAAACCCAATGGTTAATGATCATTATCCCTATTAAATGGCTATAATTGGGAATATACCCTATTTTCAGACAAACCCATATTTTCCTTTGTTGCTTGTCCCTGGTTTCTCAATTCTCTATCTTCGATTCTCGATTCTCGCCCCTGGAGTCTTGATCTTGGAGTTCGGTTCATCGATGTTGCATTTTGCTGCTTGTCAGGCCAGTCCTCACTTTATATGGGGCAGTTGAGCTTGCCGTGTCTATTGGATAGTTTTCATGTAAAGATAAAGTAAGTTTCTATGATTTTGTGCGGGATGAACATGATTCTTCATTTTGTATCGCTTGATGGGACGGCGATTGTCAGATCTGGACCTAATAGGATTGAACGTTGCATGACTAACGACCAGCGAGCAAGATGCAACCGGTTCATAGGCGCGGGAAATTGAATCTGCGAACCTGTTGTCTCCAAGTCTCCAGCAGTTTTTGTCTCAGTATTTTTTTTTTGCAGTGCATTAAGAAAGTAGTTTGTTTAGCGCAAATCAAAACATTTTTTCTCACCCATGGACAGATGGAGAAGTTCCACCCCGCAAATGGGAAGAGAAACAATACATCTCCAAAAGAAAACCTCTTGGATGGTGGTTTTACCCTCTGGTGAACTAACATAGCAATGGAAAATGGCCATAGAAATAGTGGATTTTCCCATTAAAAATGGTGGATCTTTCCATTGCTATGTAAACGTTCACCAGAGGGTAAATCTTGTCCTATTTCCATCCTAGGAAATGACCCCATTTGACGACTTATTTTCCATGACATCCAGGGAGCCCCACATTTGAAGTTTAGCTCTGAAGCAGGTCATGAAGCTACGTGCTCAAGGCGGGACTTGCTGGAGTTGAAAGTGATGAAATCAGATGAAATCAGATGAAATCCCATTGAAATCAGATGAAATCAGATGAAATCCCATTGAGTTCAAATCACAAGTCTTCCAGAACCAAAAGAGTGCGGCTGTGAGGTCTGCCGCGTAGTGCGGTGGAACGAGCGCTGCGCTGGACACAGAACGATCTGCAGATGGCGCAGGAGAGGGGTGGGTATTTCACTAGCCAATGAAGAAATTAACCATCAAATATAGAGAATTATAGAGATGTAAAATGGTTTTAACTGTATGTAACTGTTATGTGTAGCTACTGAAACATTTTTTTTGGGTATGCCCAGAAATGGATTAGATGATTAGACGCAAGTCTATATGGCAACTTTAGTAAGGAAAATGATAAACCAGCAGATTTGGGGCTGCCCTTTTTCGGACAAAGCTCACATGGGTATGTGTCAAGTCATGGAACTGGGGCCCTGGGTCAGCACAAAATAATCCTCCAAAGTTGGTTTCTGATTCAAGTCCCAACATAAATAGCTATTTGTACAAACCATCATTTTCAGGAAAATATTATATAAATCATCTTCAAAGCGGACATCAAAATAGCATAGCTTGAGCTATGGCCCGCAAGTAATGTATGATGATCAAGAGTGGTCGCTCGCCGTCCCTACATCAGCATGTTATTTCAGCACTACGTTCTCTTGACAGAGAGTAGCTGCATTCTAGCTGGAGTCCGAGGCTCTTGTTAGTGCAAGGAAGATGAGTCCAACTGGGTGGTTGAAATCGACATTTCCTCTGGAGAATCATGACTTGATTTGTTGATAAAAACAGGTGAGACTAAACATCATGGATGTGACCCAGTCGCAGGTCGTATCGCACATCTGGAGGGTGAATGGGAGCCATTGAAAGGTGCCGTCGTAAGCACCGCAAACTTCCTTCCATGAGGGGTAGCCACACCCATCACATCCAAATGGCCATTGGATATTGTGCCTTTAATGGTTGCTAATGTTCAAGTAGGGCATTTCACCCTGATTCTTAGATCTAAATTGATCATGAAACGGTGTCTGCTAAGTCTGCTATTGTTGAGGGGATGTCCCATTTCAATACTAGCAATTTATATCAATTTTATCATGTTGATAGCCTCATAGCTTCAACTCCATTCAATTTTCCACCCTAGGAGTTGGCTGCTGGCCGCATCTTGCAGGTCTCAGGGGAGGCCGGGAATTTGCTGATGACTGCCTGCATCATGCCCGCGACAAAAATTGGGATGCGTCAAAAGCCATGGAATCCCTTTAGCTCTCATCAAAATAGCTGGAATGGATGGATGTTCATCCCGAATTGTGTTTGTTGGTATTGATCCATAGCATTCCATAGCCATATCTGGGTTTGTTTTCCCTAAATCCACGGGTGAATCATCATTCTTCCCATCAAATTGCCTTGTTGCACACACCCATCTCCCAGCCAAGTGGGACAACCCAGCTCCTGGGCTTGGAGGCCCTGAGAGAGACGCAGCAAAGTACTGCATTGATGGCAGCGGATGAAAAGATGAGTTCTGGGATGATCTTGCTGGGGGAGACCTCAGAAAATCTCTGCATTTTTTTCCATATGTTACCTGCTATGAACATCTGCAGCTTCTGAATTTCCAGATTGAACATTCGCCAGGACAAGTTGTAGAAGGGAGTTCATGAGACACATCATGAATTGTTCAACAGAATTCCCATCATTTGTGGTTCCCCCATTTATAGATGATGTTCCCATCAAAGCCTCCATTTATAGGGGAATTCCCATTGCCATGTTTGACGCCTTCCTGTGCCTCCGTCCTGCCACGCTGTCAATTCGTGCAGCAGACTAGCGATATCGCCAGGGACGGCCATGGGGCTACTGATATTCAGCTTGGGGTGACATAAGCAACCATGAAAGAGGATTTGGCCAACCAAATTGGTGGGAAGAACAAATATGGCAAGAGTATCACCCCTTTTCTTTTCATGAGAATTATTCACAGATCAAGGATTTTTCGAGCGGTGACCGACTCGGACGTGGCAGGGTTTGAATGGCCTGTGTTTTTTTGTCACGTGTTGCTATTTTGCGTTCGAAGATGTTGAGGCATTCTTGAAGCTCACGCGTTGTAGTTCCTCAAAACCTGATGGTGAATGGCCACTATCAACATGAATGACATCAGTGTGTTTGAATTTCCCCTTGGTGGATCGCGCAAATTTTTCAGGTGGTTTTTTGGTTCGCCCTTGATAAACCTAACCATCATTGGCGACGTCACCGGCCGCTTATATATCGAGGCACAGTGCTGGCCGTCGAAGTATCTATGAGGCGATTCCGAAGAGGAGCAGCTTGCAAGACATCCCCCAGGTTAATGGGAGAAATCCACCAGTTGATGCCTGGTTATTCCATGATTTACAGGGGTTCAACCATCCTTTTTGGTGGTGCAGGATGTCGCGACCATCCACAGTATGAACTGCTGGTTTTGAATTTCGTAGCAGTTTACATCGCTAATTACTTGGGTCTTAAGTGCGGGTGATGCATATGGTTGATATATCGGGATATTTTTACCCAACGAAATGAGGTGATAACATTGACGATCTGGTTGGCCTGGCTTGAAACCACCAGAAATCTCCAGCAATTTCAAGATATTAGATATCATTATTATAGTTGCATCATGTACCGAATTGAGCATCCATTTTCTGAGACATTTTGGAACCCAAACTGGGAAAACTGCTTGGTCTGGGATTTGGACTTAATTTCTTCACGACTGCAGCCACTGAGTATGAGACCCTATGGGCATCGCATGTCACCGTCCTTGTGACATGGATGGGACCAAAGTTTTGCTTAACATCAAATTAACATCAAACATTGACCCAAGATGTTGGAAATTTATGGAAATTTTCTCCCAAATTCCCCATGGTTTTCTTTAATTGAATTTCGCACCACTCTTCAGCTTTGCCCAACATGGCTCCGTCCGACAAAGTTGGTGAGACTGAGGTGCCGGGTAGGCCTCGGGTGAGGAAAGTAGTCTTCCAACCCCCTGTTTGACAGGGTCTTTTTGTTCGTTGGGATTGTACTTCCTGGAAGCACCCCATGGGAAGTTATAGTTTTCACCGACCCTTAAAAATGGTGAGAGAAACCAGAAACGATGGGCAAACCTTGTGTTGGTTGTTTGGTTCACGGTCTGTTTGATATTGTTTCTCTCCATAAATGCTGGTGGAATAGGATAGCCATATTGTGACCAAGTGACAGTGAACTTGTTTGCCAATGGCATTCAATTGCGGAGCGTTCCATCTTTTGGCCCATAGCCTAAATGATGCCAAGTGCATTTACGAAAACATTTGGTAGAGCCAATGCCACAAAGCCCCAGTGTTTGATGGTGAATATTGGTGAATACCCTCCGGTAAACTAACATAACTATGGAAAATCACCATTTTTAATGGGAAAATCCACTATAAATGGCCATTTTCAATAGCTATGTTAGTTTACCAGAGGGTACCTTCTGGTGATGCGTACACCCCACTGCGCGCGCAGGTGAAGCGTACGCAGCATCCTCTGTGCACCTTGGAATTGCCGTCCATGACACCTTTCCAATTGGCGGGTGCCATGGCTGTGGCGGATAGGGATGAGGGATGATGGGTAAACTGGTGAAACTGGTTGAGTAGATTCGTGGGTCTATGGATTCATGTGTTTGCTGCTGAGAGGAGTTACACATTCATATTCTAAGCAGCTAAATATGAAGTTGTTTTGCAGGCGGATATCAGCTGTTACGTTGTTGACCGAACAAAAAAGGAAAGGAATTGGGTGTCAGTGCGATGCTTCTTTCTTGTTGGGTTCATCTTTGTGTGGGACATGTTTCTACATAGCTGGATAGAGGAATTTTGGTTGGTTGTGTTGCGTTGGGTTGGTTTCTTGCTGCAAAATTGACATGTCTCCGTCAAAAAGCCGCCAACAGTTCCAGATGTCGATTCGGTAGCACTATTGGGCTAGAGAGTGCCGGCTCCTTTGCAAGACTGGGGCTCGCTTCATCACCATCTTCCCAGCTTCGATTCCCTACATACTAATTACGTAGATTTACGTAGTACTTCGTAATACTACGTGTATCTATTTATGTATGTATGTGTATATATCTATATATATGTACATATTATACCCTGTTAATTCATCAAAAAACATCAAAAAACATATATCACCATGGTACTGCAAGTCATACAAAGGCATAACAAGGATGGTGATTCAAAGTATGAAGAATCATCCCCAAATCCCCAAGCATGGTTCCATCGCTTTAGTGGTTTCTTCTATCACTTCAAATCCCCAGCCCCTCCCGTTTGGCGCTTACATACTCATTGTTGCTGGTTCTAAGTCCATCTTTGTTTGTTGAGCCCTCCTGCAGGCCATGTCATCTATTTGCAGTCTGAAAATTACCCTCTGGTTATGTCAAAATAGCTATTGAAAATGGCCATTTATAGTGGATTTTCCCATTAAACATGGTGATTTTCCATAGCTATGTTAGTTTACCAGAGGGTATATCAAGTTGATCTTGCAGCTTTGGTTTTTTAGCTATATCCACACAGAAGTGCTCGATTTTGCTAGGGATGCTGGGTCAAAATGATTCGTCCAAAAAAATGGATGGTTCCATACTAAGCATCCCCACGTCTGTGGGTCCATTCATATAGTATCCCATGTTTGACCCCCGTCTCGCTGCAAGGCTTCCCAGTTTCCAGCTTGGAGATGCCAGGCATTTGAAAATGTGGGTAAGATAGAGCTGGAAAGCACGGAAAATGCAGCATTTTGTAGATCATGTATGGTTTCCCAGTAAGCATATCTGAGGCAACACAGGATGACTCCGAAAAAGAACACATGATATGTGGCTTTACAAGCAAAAAAGGGTATGGATCAAAATTCAAAGCCCCGGTATCCACACCATTTGTTCATTTTACCAACGAAACTGAGGATGTTGACAATGAATCAACCAACAGCGACCAATTCTGTAGACGTTTCAGCCACCTGATGGCCGAGAAAAGATCAGATTGATGACCTTGAATCAGGTTTTGATTTGTCACTGTGACAAATGATCAAGAAGGATGTTAGATTGATCGCCAAAAATGTGCAGCTTCTGGGATTGGGTACGTTGCCATTCGAATTGATGTGCAATCGACCACTACAACTATGGCTCCTGTTTGATCGACAGATTTTCACCAGGTGCATTTCTGCACCCTGGATCTATCCTCTGGTAATTTAACATAGCTATTGAAAATGACCATAGAAATAGTGGATTTTCCCATTAAGAATGGTGATTTTCCATAGTTTTTTGTATGTTTACCAGAGGGTATCCTATTGCTAACATGATTTTAGAGTTTCAAGTCCTTTTCAGCGTCAGAATGGATTTTTCAGATCACAGTAAGGCCTCCAACAGCAGTAATCTTCCGAAGATTCCTGTCCCAACTAACCGGAGATCATCAAAGTTTTCTGTTTGCGTTTCGCACAATGATCCTGATTTGGGTATGGGTCAATACCTATTAATACCATTTTTAGTGGGATGAACATCCATTTACCAGCTATTTTGATGTTCACCAGGGTACAAGGTTTTGACACACTGCCATATGAGCCTTTGACGTTTCAACAATGCTTCGCTTGCCTTGTGCTATCAAACGTGTCCTTTGTTTGTCATCCCTCTTTTCGCTGATCAGTCGTCATCCGACCGATCTTGTTTGGGATAGAGATAACATGCACCGTGTCATGCACCCGTTTCTTTTGCTTCCGCATGACATCACAGAAGCTCCTTCGGTCTCTCAGCTTGCGAGCTTTGCAGATGACCACAGAAGCCCACTTGCGACTCCCAGAAGCAACACAGACGTGGCGGCAAGGCCTTTGGGGGGCTCGGCCAAGTGCATCCACAGGCTGATGATGATGATGCCGATGATGCCGATGCCGGTGGTGCTCCCTCTCTCTCTCTCTCTCCATTGCGCGTAAAGATGCACATTTTGATTTCACCGAACCTCTGGCTGCAACAAGATGCAACAAGTTTGTTTCAACTGGCAGGTCGAGTTCTCCGCAGTCGCCACAGTCCCCGCAGCCAATGGATGAGGAAGAACGATTGAAGAGGCCGCAGTTCAGGGGCTGCTGTGCTGCCAGTGCCAGGGTATATAAACGTTGCAGCCCCATGTGTTGGCTAGCGGCTAGTTGTAATCACTTAAATTTCTTGGTAAAGCCCCTACCCTGGTGGCTGTTCTCTCCATTTTGGCATATTTTTTATATATTTTTTATATGGATGTATCATATGGCCATAGATTCCATAGATCCATAGATCATATGGCCATAGATTCCATAGATTATGGATCCATAGATTATGGAAACATATGGAAACTCCTCCATTTTCGGAGAACGCCTTTGTTTTGGGTGGCCCCTTCCTCCCGATGTTTGCTGGCAGGATCTTTGGACCTTCAGGACGACCACAAGCCCCTGGGTCCTTGCGCCCAATGGTATCTTGGCGGCGAAGTGCAGTGGCTGGTGGCCGTTTTCAGCATCATGCAAAGGTTTATGCACAAAAATGGGCACATGAATCACTGAATCATCATAATTTATCCATGTGGGTGTGTCTGAAAATAGTGTACCCCATTTTCCCAATGGTTTTGCTGATCATT